AATCCGGATATCGACCCAAACCTCTATACTCAATTAATATTTGACAAAGGAGGTATGAACATACAATGGAGTCAAGTCAGTCTCTTCAATAAATGGTGTTGGGAAAATTGGACAGACACTTGCAAAAACATGAAACTAGATCACCAACTTACACCATACACAAAAATATACTCAAAATGGATACAGGACTTAAACATAAGATGGGATAGCATAAAAACACTAGAGGCATCCACAGGTAGCAAAATCTCTGACATATGCCAAAAGAACTTATTCACTGATACTGCCCCTAGGGCAATGGAAGCTAAAGAGAAAATAAACAAATGGGACTACATCAAAATAAAAAGCTTTTTTACAGCTAAAGAAACCATCAACAAAACAACAAGAAAGCCCACTGAATGGAAGAACATATTTGCAAATGTTATCACTGATAAAGGTTTAATCTCTAACATCTACAGACAGCTTATACAACTAAATAAAAGGAAGATAAATGATCCAATTAAAAAATGAGCAATGGACCTAAATGGAATATTTTCAAAAGAAGACAGAAGGAAGGCCAAGAAGCACATAAAAACATGCTCAAAGTCACTAATTATCAGAGAGATGAAAATCAAAACAACAATGCGGTGCCATCTCACACCTGTCAGAATGGCCAACATCAACAAATCAACAAACGACAAGTGTTGATGAGGTTGCAGAGAAAAAGGAATTCTCGTGCACTGCTGGTGGGAATGCACACTGGTGCAATCACTGTGGAGAACAGTATGGAGTTTCCTCAAAAAACTGAAAATGGAACTCCCATTTGACCCAGTAATCCCACTCCTAGGAATATATCCTAAGAAGCCAGAAACACCAATCAGAAAGGAAATATGCACCCCTATGTTCATAGCAACACAATTTACAATAGCTAGGATTTGGAAACAGCCTAGGTGCCCGTCAGCAGATGATCGGATCAAAAACAATGGTACATCTACACAATGGAATACTATGCTGCTATAAAAAAGAAGGAATTATCATCATTTGCAGCAACCTGGATAGAATTGGAGAACATCATGCTGAGTGAAATAAGCCAATCAATGAAAGAGAAACACCACATGAACTCACTCATTTATGGATAATAAAGAACATTATAAACTGATGAACAAAAAGATAGATACAGAGACAGTAAAGCAACAAACAGACTGTCAAATTACAGTGGGGAGAATAGGGGGATATGGGGGAGATAAAAGATCAACCAAAGGACTTGTATGCACGCATATAAGCAAAACCAGTGGACGACAACCTCTGGTGGGGAGGGCATGTATGGGCGTGGGGAGCAATGGAAAGATATGTACACATATCGATATAATACCTTAATAAAAAAAAATAAACATCAAGAAAAGAACAAGAAAGCCCATTATATGAGTGAACATATTTGCAAATGTTATCAACGATAAAGGTTTAATCTCCAACATTTACAGGGAACACATACAACTTAACAAAGGAAGATTAATGATCCAATTTAAAAAATGGGCAACGGACCTAAATGGAATCTTTTGAAAAGATGACAGAAGGAAGGCTAAAATATATATGAAAACATGCTCAAAATCACTAATTATCCAAGAGATGCAAAGCAAAACGTCATTGTGGTACCATCTTACACCTGTCAGAATGGCCATCATCAACAAATCAACTAATGCTGGCAAGGATGCATAGAAAAAAGAACTCTCATGCACTGCTGGAAGGAATGTATACTGGTGCAGCCACTGTGGAGAATAGTATGGAATGTTCTCAAAAAACTAGAAATGGAACTCCCATTTGACCCAGTAATCCCACTCCTAGGAATATATCCTGAGAAACTAGAAACACCAATCAGAATGGGTATATGCACCCTTATGTTTATAGTAGCACAATTTACAATAGCTAAGATTTGGAAACAGCCTAGATGCCTGTCAGCAGATGACTGGATCAGAAAACAGTGGAATACTATGCTGCCATAAAAAAGGAATTCTTACCATTTGCAACAACCTGAATGGAACTGGAGAGCATTATGCTAAGTTAAATAAGCCAGTCAATGAAAGAAAAATACCACATGATCTCACTCATTATGGATAATAAAGAACATTATATTCTGCTGAACAAAAAGATAGAATTACAGTGGCAGCAAACCATCAGACTGTCAAATTACAGCGGGAAGGTTAAGGGGAGATGGGAAGATAAGAGGTCAATCGAAGGACTTGTATGCATGCATATAAGCATTACCAATGAATGCAATACACTGTTGGGTGAGGGCATGTATGGGAATTGGAGTAGGGGGGCAATTGAAAGATATGTACACATGTAATACCTTCATTAAAAATGGAAAAATAAAAGATAATAAAATAAAAAGAATAAAAGATACACACAGATTGAGAGGTCAAGAACAACACAAGCATGTCTGTTTCACCACTCTTATTCAACATAGTGCTGGAAGTCCTATCCATAGCAATCAGACAAGGAAAAAATAAATAAAAGGCATCCAAATTGGAACAGAGGAAGGAAAACTGTCATTATTCGCAGATTACATGATATTGTACATAAAAAACCCTGAAGACTCCACCATAAAACTATTAGATATAATAAATGAATTCAACACAGTAGTAGGATACAAAATTAATATCCATAAATCAGTGGCATTTTATTTTTATTTTATTTTTCGTTTTTCATGAACAGTGGCATTTTTATATACTAATAATGAACTCTGAGAAAAACTAAGAAAACAGTCTCATTTACCATTCAACAAAAACAAAAAATAAAGTACCTAGAAATAAACTTAACCAAGGAGGTAAAATACCTGTACTTAAAAAACTAAAGGACATTGAAAAAAGAAATAGAGAAAGATACAAAAAAGTGGAAGCATATACAATGTCCATGTATTGAAATAATTAACATAATTAATATGTCCAAACTACCCAAAGCAATTTGTAGGTCAACACAATTCCTATTAAAATATCAATGGCACATTTCACAGATCTAGAATAAATATTTCAAAAATGTTTGTAATTCAGTTTAGGAAGGTTATATATTTCTCAGAACTTTTACCCATTTCTTCTAGGTAATTGAATTTGGTAGCATATGGTCTTTCATAGTATTCTTCTGTGATCCTTTGTATTTCTCTGGGACCTGTGGTAACTTCTCTTTTATTCCTGGTTTTATTTGAATCTTTTCCCCTTTTTCCTTATTGAGTCTAACAAGCGGTTTGTCAATTTTATTATTCTTTTCAAATAATAATAAAGCTCTCTGTTGCATTATTTTGAATAGTATTTTTGTTCTGTATTTCACTTAATTCTGCTCTAATTTTTATTATTTTTCTTCTGTTGACTTAGAGCTGATTTTGTTTTTCTTTTTTCTAGTTCTTTAAGAATTAATGCTAGGTTGTTTACTTGGGATTTTTTTTTTTGTTTGTTTGTACTTTGAGATATGCCAGTAATAATATAAGCTTTCCTCTTATTACTGTTTTTGTTGTATCCCAACATTTTTGACATGTCTTATTGTCATTCTCATTTATCTCTATATATCTCTTGATCTATTCTTTTATTTATTCTTTGACCCAGTTCTTTTTAGTAGCATGTTGTTTAATCTTTACATATTTGTGTTTCTTTCCACTTCCTTTTTGCAGTTGATTTATACTTTCAAAGTAATGTACTTAGATAATATACTTGGTATAATTTCAATCTTCTTAAGTTTCTTAAGAAGAGGTAGTGGAGAAATAGGAACCATAATTCATTGCTGGTGGGAATATAAACTGGTACAGCCACTATGGAAAACAGTATGGACGTTCCTCAAAAAATTAAGATTAGTGTTACCATGTGATCTAGCAACCTCTCTTCTGGGTATTTACTGGGAATATTTGAAAACATTTATTTGCAAAGATATATGCACCCCTATGCTCATTGCAGCATTATTCATGGTGGCCAAGACATGAGAAAAAAAAAAAACAACAACAACAGTGACCTTTGCTAGATAACTGGATAAAGAAGATGTAGTACATATATACATAATGAAATACTACTCAACCATAAGAACAGATAATGCTGCCATTTACAACAATAAGATCCCAAAAATAACATGCTAAGCAAAATAAGCCAGACAGATAAAAATCCCACAGGACTGACCATAATCTGAGATTCCAGGTTATTGTTATTTGTTTGGAAATGAAAACAAAGAGCTAAACCCCTTCAAGCACATGTACACGGAGAACCCAGTGTCAGCTATCTGAGAAATGAAGTGGGAAGACAGGCTGACTCTCCCTCACTCTCAGTTTGCTGAAGTGAGATCCCATCCACAGTGTTCCTTCAAAAAGAGGGGGTGCTTTACAGTGGATAGATGAAAAAATAAACACAAGAATGGTGAGAGGTGTGAAAAGGCACATTTACCAATCACCTGTGTGCAAATTGTAAACTTGTTCACAGTATGGTCTTTGAAAACATTCAGATGATTTAGAAGAAGTAAAATATATGAGTCCCCTCTTCCTTCCTTCCACAGCCCCTTGTGCAAGGTCCCAAGCCTATCGATACTTCTGCTGACCTCCAGATAGAACATCTCAATGATTCACGCTGTCTCCAAAGGCCAACCTCTGGAAGCATTATGTGTCCATTCTCATTAGTATCTATTGGCAAACTGCCTTTGTAGTCAAGCCTGATGTGTCTGCTAGAGACTGCCAGAGAGAATGGGGGAGCTGGGGATGGAGATGGAAGGGCCTTTCAGTCCTGAACTCATTGCTCATGGTTGGCACAGGAAGAGAGATCCAAGACACATGACATACAATGTGTAACATCACTCTTTATTATGAAAAAGAAAAAGAAAAAACACAACCACAGCGATCATGAATGGGGAGAATAAACAGAACAAATGACAGTTCAGGTGGTTGGGTAACTTTGGCTTCTTGGTCAGCCAGGCCTCCAGCCCCAGTCCTGGGTGCAGCCTTACACAATAGAAAAGAGGAATAATGTGGATGAAGACAAAGTTGACACCAAGAGCTCTTTTTAAGGGATTTGTTCGAAGGCCTCCTCTGGGATCTTGCGCTGGGTCTGGAGAGGAGAAGTCAGGGTGTCAGAAGAGCCAACTCCCTGAGTTTTAGTCCAGGGCACCAGCTTCCATCTTCTTGGCCTCCCCCAAGGCCCAGAAATATCTGTCTTTAACCCACTTGATACCCAGACCTCACCTTGAGCGTAGCGAAGACCTGAGCAGCTTTAATGTAGTTCCACTCATTGTCCTGAAGGCACCTGGAGTGGGAGAAGACCGAGTGATCTCCATCAGTACCACAGTACAGACACGCTGACCATACAGTGCCACCACTAAGCCTATGCCACTAAATCTGTGCTGGGATACATGTACCAGAATGAGCACTATGTGTAATGAGGAAGAAAGACCTAGTGAAAACCAAATGTCTGTCACTAGCATTCATTCCCACTAGAATTAAAAACAGAGATGTTCGAAAGATCAAGGGAGCTTAATATACAGTATATTGATAAAGAAAGATGTTCAAGAAAATAACAACCCCTAGCCAGTTTTGCTCAGTGGATAGAGTGTCAGCCTGTGTGCTAAAGGGTCCCAGATTCAATTCTGATCAAAGGCTGAGGCTCGATCCTCAGTGGGGGGCATGCAGGAGGCAGTCAATCAGTGATTCTCTCTCCTCATTGATGTTTCTATCTCTCCCTCTGCCTTCCTCTCTGAAATTAATAAAAATATTTTTTAAATAAAATAAAATTTAGAAAATACTTTTTCAATGGTTTTATGGCATTCACCATTTTAAAGTGTACAATGCAGTACTTTTTAGTATATAACAAGAGTGTGCAACCATCACAATTATCTAATTCCAAAATAGTTTCATTACCTCAAAAAGAAACTCCTTAAGCATAAGAAATCACTTCCTATTCCACCCCTTTCCCTAGACCAGGGATGGGGAAACATCCAAGCAGAGGGCTGTATAAGGCCTCAGAAATCATTTGGTCTGGGCCTGCCAAGGCATTAGGAGTTAGTTAATTAAATGTTTGATCAAATATAGTAGGCTAATATTTTAGTTGATAATTTTGTATGGCCCATGAATGATGTTATAAATATCCAAATGGCCCTTGTCAGAAAAAAAGGTTCCCTGCCCCTGCCCTAGACCCTGGCAATCACAAATCTATTTTCAGTATCTATGGATTTGACTATACTGGACATTTCTTGTAAATGAAATCACACAGCCGAAAACGATTTGGCTCAGTGGATAGAGTGTCAGCCTGAGGACTAAAAGGTTCCGGGTTCAATTCCTGTCAAGGGCATGTACCTTGGTTGCAGGCACATCCCCAGTAGGGGGTGTGCAAGAGGCAGCTGATCAATGATTCTCTCTCATCGATGTTTCTAACTCTGTATCCCTCTTGCTTCCTCTCTGTAAAAAAATCAATAAAAATATATTTTAAAAAAATGAAGTCACACATATGTGACCTTTTGTGACTGGCTTCTTTCACTTAGTGTAATGTCTTCTACATTTGTCTATTGCATGACGTTTATAAAAACGGTGTTCTTTTTATGACTGAATAATATCCTACTATATGGATATACCAGATTTCTTCATTCATTCATGAGCTAAAAGACATTTGGGTTGTTTCCACTCTTTGGTTGTTAGGAGGAATGCTGCTATAAACCTTTCTGTAAAATCTTTTGCATGAATGTATGTTTTCATTGTTCTTATTATTTACTTAGGAGTGAGATTACCGATTCATATGGTGACTCCATGTTTAGCATTTTGAGGAACTTCCAAAAAGTTTTCCACAGTGAATGTTGCACTCTATATTTGTACCAATAATATATGAAAATTCTATTATCTTCACTTCATTATTTACACTTATATTCTATTTCACTCAAAAGCTATCTTTTAAAAAAATATATACATATATTATTGATTTTTTACAAAGAGGAAAAGAGAAGGATAGAGAGTTAGAAACATCAATGAGAGAAAAACATCAATCAGTTGCCTTGTGCACCCCCCGCATTGGGGATGTGCCTGCAACCAAGGTACATGCCCTTGACTGGAATCGAACCTGGGACCCTTCAGTCTACAGTCTGATGCTCTATCCACTGAGCAAAACTGGTTAGGGCTCAAAAGCCATCTTAATGTGTATGAAGTAATATCTCCTCCTTGTTTGACTTGAATTTCCCTAATGACTAATGATGATGAGCATATTTTCATGCTTGTTGATCATTTGTATGTCATCTTTAGAGAAATTTTTATTTAAATCATTTCCCCATTTTCAAATTGGGTTGTCTATTTAGTGTTTTCAGATATTCTGAGAAGTATATCTTATCAGATATGAGATTTGCAAATATTTTCTCCCGTTATGTGGGTTGTAGTTTCACTTTCTTGATAGTGTCCTTTGAATGCACAACAAATTTTAATTGTGATGAAGTGCAATTTGTTTGTTTCTTTGGTTGCTTGTGCTTTAGGAATCATATATAAGAAACCATTGCCTAATTCAAGGTTATACATGAAGTTATACACCTATATTTTATCCTAAGAGTTTTCATATCTATAGACCTTATATTAGATCTTTAATCCATTTTGAGTAATATTTGTACATGGTGTTTGGTAAGGGTAAAAGAAAATTTTTTTTTGCTTGTAGATATATACAGGTGTCCCAGCTCAATTTGTTGAAAGGACTATTTTTCTCAAAAAAAAAAAAATTGGCATCTAATTGAAAATCAATTGATTATAAATGTCACGGTTTATTTCTGAACTCTCAGTTCTATTACATTGACTATATGTATAACCAAATGTTAGTAGCAGTGTTGTCTTGATTATAACAGCTTTATAGTAAGCTTTGAAATTCTGGAGATTAAGAATTATGACTCCTCCAATGTTATTCTTCTCTTTTACTATTGTTAGTATTCTAAGTACACTGCATTTCCATGTGAATTTTATGATAACTGTATCAATTTCTTGAAAAGATCCAGTTAAAATTTTGATAGGAATGGTGTTAGATCTGACCTGTTTGAATAGTATTACCATGTTAACAACACTGTCTTACAAATCATAAACATGGCATGTAGTTTCATTTTTTTTGGTCTTATTTAATTCATTCCAAAAATATTATGAAGATTTTAAAGTATAAGTTTTTCACTACTTTAGTCTTATTTTTTATTTTATTAAAAATGAAATTTTTTTCTTAATTTTATTCTAAGATAGTTCATTGTAGAAATAGAAACACATATGATTTTTGTATATTGATCTTGTGCTATGAAACTGTGCTAAACCTGTTTGTTTATTCTAATAGTTTCTTGGTGGGTTCCTTAGGATTTTCCACATACCAGATCATGTCATCTGAGCATTACACTATTTTTAAAACTCTTTACATATCACCATAAAATTAGGATACTTTCGTCATGGACCTACTATTTTTGGAAGCAAAATATCAAATGCTTCTTTTTCCAAATTGCCTATGTGTTTCCATTATTCATCCCCATACTGCCCTAAGTACCTCTTACCTTTGAGAACACCCAATACTCACTTTTGAGACCACTGCGGATTCATGCCAGACTGGATGGAGAAAACCTGCACCATTTCCTTCTGCTCCTGGGAGAAGGTGGGCACAGTGCTGCAGGAGGGTGTGGGCACTGGAATGGAGATTGCCCTCTGAGTCTCATTCAGGTTGGCATTCCTCACAAATAGCTCATCATTCATGATGAACATTCTAGAAAAAAATGATACCTCAGACAACTGATGGATGGACAATCCCACACCCTCAACAATTATCCTGCTTCCACTGCCCCTCAGCGACCAGATTGCTCCCATACCCACCAGTATCTGCTCCCCAGATTGCTCTTTCTTCCCACCTCCCACCTCTTGGAGAGATTGCCTACCTGCTTCACTAGGTTTGTACCCCTAGTCCCATTGCATTTACTCAGTGAAACAGCCCAAGGGAGAGGACAGTTTAATCCCATTTTCAGAGGAAGACATAGGTCACAGAGAGGGTCACGTGATTTCACTCAGGTACAAATCTAAAAGTGAGTGTTGGTGCCAGGAAGAGAACCCGAAAGAAATCTGAAACGCTTTCAGTGTTCTAACTCCAGAGCCCACACTCTTAACCCCTCTGAAGGACTATTCCTTATATCAACCTGCTGACTTCCCACAACACTGAGAAAACCCTGAGAATATGCACCATCACATTGCCACAGCCATGAGCCCAGGTTGGGCTGTATGTCCCCACCCAAAGCATAACACTCACCTGGAATCGCTGGCAGGGGTAGTGATGAAAGTCCGGGTGAAGGCACGCACAGAGCCCTGAGACCTTCCTTCCACTTCAACAACAACAAACAACAATACCCCCTTGGAGTCACACATGCTTCACACACTCACTCAGCATTCCCAAGTCAGGGTGGGACTGCATACTCATGCCCAAGGAGACAACTAGTCTCTGGGAGTCACTGTGCGGGGAATTGGGAGGGCAACATTAGGAGAAACCTGATTCTACTGAGAGGGAACCAACGATGTGCTGGGCCCTGGGACAACCACTTCACTAGTTCATTTGATTCAATTTTGGAAGCCACCCAAGAGATATATTTTGTTATCTCCGTTTTGCAAATGAGGAAAATGAGAGGTTAGGTAATGGACCTATTTTGCAGTCAGGATCTGGGATGACAGCCATCAAACCCCACATTTGTGTACTCATCACCCCAGTTGTGCAGGGCTGATAGGCATGGATGCAGGTCAGACCAGGCTGGTTTGGGGGAAGTCTGGAGGCAGGAGAACATGGAGGGAATAGTGAAGGAATCTAGGAAGCTGTGAGAGTTCTGAGAGGTAGCCCACCTGGAGGAGGGAGCAGCAGGGGACCTGGGGAGGGGTCTCTACATACACTCACCTTCCTTGAACACCCCATTGACACAGAAGCAGAGCATCCTTTCCTAAAAAGTAAGGAAATAGGAGCTCAGTCTCCACCGACACCTCCCACCACCTGAATCTTTCTGGGCCTGCCCCAGGGAGGAAGAGGGTGCTCACCGACTGCAACCACACGTCCACCAGGAAGGAGTTGAGGTCATGCTGAGTTTTGGGAAACACACAGAGAGAGCTCACAATGTCATGTTTTGTATGTTTCAGCAGCTGAAAACGCAGGTCTATGGGGGAAGGACAGCAGAAGTCAGGGTTGCCACATCTGAGGCCTATGACTGACCCTTCATACCACCTTTCCCTGCCCAATCTTCCACATCACACACGCACTGGGGTCCTGTAGGTTCTTCATATTCCTGTTAACCTTGAAGTACTCAAACAAGCTGCTTCTAGGAGAAAAAACAAAACAGGATGTGGAGGTACAGACAGTGGGGGTGTTTCCATGACCTGGCAGATTTCTGCTAGGGGGACACACGCCCCAAATGAGAGTCTGAGCAGTGATACTCACGTGGCTGGGTTGTCTTGGATGAAGGGGATGGTCAAAGAGAAGCAGGCCTCATCGTGATAAGCACCGAGGAGACTCTGTCTGTCTCCAGAGTCATAGATCAAGTAATATCTGTGAGGGGACAATGAAGTCTGTGTACCTCTATGGACTGGATCTCAAAAGAGACTTTAAAACTTTTAGGGGTACTTACTGCTGCAGGAATTGCAGGACTTGAGTCTTCAGATCATCTAATCCTTTACAGCTTTCCTGGAATCAAAGACATTTGAGACCATTTGGCTGGTAAAACCTCCCTTACAACAGCCCAAATGTTGTTCTTCCTTACCTTTATTAAGGGCTTTACCAAGTAGGGTCTGTCAATATCAGTGGTAATTGTTGGGGGCAAATCCTGGCCATCCTGGATCAGAGAAGAGAAGTTAGCAACGAGGACCAGGAAGGCGGTCTTGGATGATTAGTGGAAAGGATATGCCAAGGAGATGGTGAAGGTCAGTGGTCTGTAGTAATAGTTCCCTGGAAATTCCATGGGCAAGATTCTAGTGCACATCTGCATACTGAGGTCTTGGAAGGCTCTACTATTTTATGTAATTTGTGAGTGTGAGCATGAGTGAGTGTGTGTGCACATGTGATGGTGTGTGTCTGTTTCTCTTTCTGTCCTCCCTCAGCAGATTTCTTTATCTTTCCGTCTCTCCTTCCCTCTGTGTGTGTGTGGGTACATTTGTTGCAGAGATAATTTCATGTATTTTTTTAGAGATCCATGTCCCCCACAATGGAGAAGGCTCTAATGCAAACGTGTAATCCAGGCAAGACATAAAGGGCTTGAGGGCAGGTGTGGAGGTTGTCAATGAAAGTAAGAGGTGATGAATGTAGACACTTACCAAGCATAACAACTCAGGGAAATACTTTCTGGTGGCGCTGTCGAAATGCAAAAAGAAAGAAGTGGTTGAAAGTTTGGGTTGCATGGTTCCATTTACTTAAAACACTGATATAATGAACAGAGACAGGTGTTCTGCCCACCCAGAATCTTTGCCCTCCTCAACCTCACATTTCAAGGCTTCTGGGTCCACTTCTCTGTAGAGCACTGACCAACTGCCACATGGAATCTCTGTAATACAGTCTCCTCACCTCTATCCACACCTTCACATTCATATTACCTCCCTTCATTCCTACATCCCTCACCGTTTCCTCCCTCCCTCCTTCTCCCTCTCTACCCTCCTGGTTAACTCCTGCCTAGAGGGCCATGCCTCCTTCCTCAGTGCCACAGACCACAGCATTTTGATCCCAAACTCCAGAGCTCCTTCTCCCTCCCTGCCTCCCTTTCCTTCTTACAGGCCACCACTGATGGCTCCAGAGAGAAAAGGGAATGTGGTGGGGGCCCAGGGTTATGCCACCTCAGTGAGGATCCAGCATCCTGCCATGAACAAGACATGCCTCAGGGATGGCCCAGTATGCTGGGGCAGGGAGGTGAGTGAAGGAGAGATTAGGAGATAGGGAGTGAAAGGGAGAAGGATGAAGACAGAAAGAGAGTGAAAACAGTAGCAGAGATTGGGAAGACATCAAAATGTAGAGTCAAAGGGAAAAAAAGAAAAAGAAAAAGAAAAGTAAAGGGAGGGGAAGGAACCTCTGCCCTGGCAGTGGGGATTGGGTCAGAGAAGAAGAAAAGAGAAAAGGGACATGGCTCCCCTGCAGCAGCCCTTTCCTTCGTCTGCCCCTGGCTGGCCCTAGGTCTCCAAGCAAAAATGAAAAGCATGAGTCTGTTAGCCTGTTAGGTGTTTGCTGATCCTTTGTCACCTGTGGGAGCTCAATGTGAACTGGGAATGGGAAACACACCACCCACAGGATCAGGAGACCTTCCCAGAAGGAGTAAAGGTCCAGGCCGCAGCTCAGCTTAACCTTGGGGATCTGTGGCCCACTCATATAAAAACCACCTTCTCTCTTCGTGGCCCCTGTACATCTTTGTCTGTCCTAGTTGGTTTCTTTTCTGAGGAATCCTACTCATGTAATGCTACCCAGGGCTCCTCTGAAGGACCATGCAGGTGTGATGTCTGTAGGGAGGACCAATGACCCTGAGAGGACTGTCTTTCTATCTTCTCAAACCCCTCTGTTATCTGCCTTCCACTGCTGCCTCAAAAGGTCCTCTGCTCACTGCTAGTGGCTCACTTATGTACCCTTTACTAGGGAACTCTGGATTCTACCAAAGATGGCCCATCCATGGTATCATACTGAAGAAATCAATGGGGCCTGGGACCTTGGCATGGGGTGGGAAAGTCCTCACGTTGACCTGGAACTTGAGGGAGATCCTTTACATGCAAGGGAAAGAAGGTTCCTCCCAGAATAGGTTAAGAATACTCTGTATCATATCAGAAACAGGAAAAACTATCTCAGCATGAGTCTCAGGTGGAGGGAGTTTATCAGACCAGATCAGCAGTCTCTGTCTCAAGGCTCAATACTCCTAGTCCTGGGTTGTGGTGGAGCCCTGCATCCTAGAGCTCATTTTGGTGGTAATCCCTGAAAAAACTAGATGCAACATCAGGAACCAGATCCCAGACCATGAGAACAGGTGAGCATGTCAGAGGAAGGGAAGGAGACCTCTTAGCAGAGGTGAGGAACATAGAGAAGAGAAGGTGGGGCCTCTAGTCCTCCCAGAGGACCAGGGATGCCACTATCTGTGGCAGGGCACTGTCACGGGTAGTTCATGCTCTCAGGAGTCAAAAGACCCCAGGAATGACGAGAGGGGCTCACACTGACCTGACGTAGGTAAACTGGCTTTGGAAGTTGTCACAGAAAGGGTTCCCTTCCAGCCACAGCTCTTCAAGTTTCAGACCTTTGATCTTGCCCAACTCCCAGATAGATTTCAGCTGAGAAACATGGGGAAGAAACTGAAGAGTGGTTCAAGGAAAAAGGGACATACCAGCCTCTGAACCCACAGCCCTCTCCCTTCCCCACAGGTACCTTCGCTTACCTCCTATCATCACTCTGATGAACACTACCACCCACTCTCAACCCAACTTTGATCAGTCCCTCTTCTCACCTCATTTTTGGAAAGGTTCAGGATCTTGACTCTGGGTGCCATCTGTACAATATCAGATAGGCCATCCAGTTGGTACAGTTTGTTGTTGCGCAAGTTCAGAGACAACAGCTTTGGGGAAGAAGAGTCAGAGTGATCCTTACTATCTAGGACCTGAGAGACAAATCTGCCCTCTGTCCCATCTGTCCCACCCCCTACTGTAACACCAGACTGGGTCTAAGGCCTCACCTCAGGGAAATCCTTTTCAATGATCTGCAGGGTGGCAGCCATGCAGTTTCTTCTGTTCAGGATTATATCAATATCAAGGTGTACAAATCCTTAAAGTGTGTGAGAGTGGGGAATCACAAGGCTAATAAGGGTCCAAGAGAAGCACCAACCCCTCCTTCATTACATCCTTAAGCCTCCCTCCCAGGCAGAAATCTCTGTCCTCATCTGCCCTAAAATTATTGCTGTCAGCAGTACCTGGATCATAGAGGAAACTCTCGAGGTCAAGAGCTTTCTGAAAAAAATCATATCGATTTCTCATGGCCAGCTGCAGAAGGAGATGGAGAGAGAGCTCTGAGACTGTGGTCTGAACAAGGAAATTGGGGCTGGAGGAGGAACAGGGAGTCTGAAGTGGGCACACATATGCCTTGAGTCTGCATTACCTCTAGCTGGTCCATTATTTCTGGTGCCAGCTTAAACCGCACAGAGTAGGGTACAGCAGAAGTGTTGATAAAGATAACTATCTGCAGGAAGAAGAGGTGGAGTTTAGCACCAGGAACTCTAGCCCTACAGAAGGTGACCAGCTCTGCATGTCCTCTTGCCCAAGACTAAGTACAGATAATGACCTCGACACACACCTTCCGGTTTTCCTCATCACAAATCTGGTAGCTGACATCCTTCAATGCATAGGCAGTGCGAGCATCCTGGACAAAGAACTGGGCCTTGTTTTTCACGTAGTGAAACTACAGGGATTGAAATAATAGCAATAGTATTACAGGCCACGGACCCTAGGTGAACCAGGTCTCTCCCAATTTCCTATGCCCCTCATGTGGCTTCACTGTCCTCTCTTACCTCCACTGGAGTGAAGGGGACACTGCAATGGCTCTGGATGGAATCCATTAGCCATGTCTTGTCATACTTTCTTCCACAAGGAATCTAAGGGTCAAAAGAAGGCACAAAGACAGGAGAAACAGCGTGGAACTAAGCCTGGAGAACAGACCCAACACAGTGTTCTTTCCCAACCTTCTACTCAGGTTTATTTATTTATTTTTTCTTTTCTCCTACTCGGCTTTAAAGGGCTTCTAAAGAAGGGACCCTGGGCATGATTTCTTATCTTTGTTCTAAATGTGGATTTCCTAAAACCTATTTTTCTTCATTCGAAATCTCTCCTCCAAGTAATCTATGTAAGGTGTTTAATGTGGCCTTCCTTTTATAAGGTTCCAGGATATCCCATTTAGCGCAGAACTTGTCATGACACTCACTGTGATCTTGAACCATTTTCCTGTGATTTCATCTTGTGGATTCTCCATTTCTCTTTCCAGAGATTCTCTACTTCTCCACACAGTAATATCAGTACAGCCTTTATTATGCAATTTCTTTTCTCTTTTGTTGCATTGGATGTCATAGGGAGTACTGAAGGGAGTGAGGGGAAAAGTAGAAAGAAAAAGGGTGATCATGAATGCTAAGAAAGTCTTTTATACATCCTTCAGGACTACAATTAGGATTGCTCAACCATGATTTCACTTCTAACATTCTTCAGTTTTCCAGTGAGAGAAGAAAAACAAAATTGCCGGCAATGAGAGTTGCACAGCCCCATGGGCTGCTACATGTAAACCAGGTTTCCCAGTCACTTACTGTCTGACTGGGTACCTCTGGCCTCTCCTCATCTCCATGTTTCCATCATCCTTCAGGAGGTGTGGAGGCTGAAGCTCATATCCACCATGTTGATAACGATGGGTCCTTTTGCCAAAATTACGTCGTCTCAAAGAATTCCAATCTCTCTCTCTTCCTTGAGGTGAGCTATCACTATCATTGTCTTCTGAAACAAAGAACAAAAATACAAATTTAGAGACATGTCTATACCAAATTACCATGTTCCACATCTTAGGATAACACCATGGCATGGCAACAAAGTGATACCTGTCCTAAGAGATCAATCGCACAAACCCCAGAAAGGAAAATCCTCTGCCTGTCCAGATAGGAGAGCCTTACTGAAAAATGGTGCTACCAGGGGAGAAATAGTTCAGGATGCGGAAAGAGGAGCAAGAGCAGGAAGAGAAGGAGAGGAAGAGGAAGAGGAAGAAGTAACTGTGTGAACCTTTTAAATATGATGCAAAATCCTTATAATAAAAGGTTAACATGCAAATTGACCAAACAGTGGAACGACTGGTCGCTATGATGTGCATTGACCACCAGGAGACAGACGTTCAATGCAGGAGCTGCACCCTCATGGTCAATGCGCTCCCACAGGGGGAGCACTGCTCAGTCAGAAGTTAGGCTCAGGGCTGGTGAGTACAGTGGTGGTGGCAGGAGCCTCTCCCACCTCCGCAGCAGCACTAAGGATGTCCAACTGATGGCTTAAGCCTGCTCCCCCTGGGCTCCCAGACTACAAGAGGGCACAAATCGGGCTGAGGTACACCTCCTTCCCCAAGTGCACAAATTTTGTGCACCAGGCCTCTAGTTTATAAAGAATAGAGGTGTGTCCATGGATTAGACTAGATGTCAGCCTTACATTAGAAGGGCATAAGAATCTTGCCTCTCTCCAAGTTCTCTGACAACCACTCCACTACATGGGGAGCACCTTCTCTCATGCTTCCCAAACCCAGTCAGCCACCACACTGATTCTACTAACACCCAGCAAGCTGTCTTCCTTGGCCATTGTATTATTAGTACAAGCTTTAATGTCAGATGGAGCAGAGGTACCAGCCTCTTAAACTGTCCTCCTCTCTCTCACCTTGCCCTCAACAAAACTCTACTTGAAATGTCCAGAGTGAGCTTTCTTTTTGCCCAGTCTGAAATGCCTTTGAGTTCATGAGACAGCTTTTCCAATCTCAGCTCTTCTGTAACAAGGGTTTCAACTATCATTTCCAAATTTCCAGGGATTCCTCTTTTCTCTTTCTGCTATGGATTTCTAATTTGATCCCGCTATGGTCAGAGAACATACTCTGTGTCATTTCAGTTATTTTTGAACTTGTAGAGGCTTGTTTGATGGCATAGAAGATGGACTGTCTTGGTGAATGTTACAGAGATACTTTTAAAATATTGTACTCTGGGGCTGTTGTATAGAGTGTTCTATTTGTCACATAGAGCCTGTTAGTTTATTGACTTATTCAGATCTCCTATATGCTGATTTTCTTTCTAGTAATTCTACCACTTGCTGAGAGGGAGTGTTGAAGGCCCCAACTAATTTGTGGACTTGACTGTTTCTCCTATTGGCTCCATCAGTTTTTGCTTTGTTTACTTTTTGGCTCTGCTGTTTGTTGCATACACACTTAGGTACATTTATTCTTCCTGGTGAATTGGTCCTTATATCATTGTGTGATGTGTCTCTTTGATAAGTCTCTTGTAAATTCTACACTTTTTTGGAGAATGTAGCCACAGATATGCACATAAAATATCTTGGTTATATTGCACTCTGTAGTCACTCCTAGGAGTTGTGTTGCTGTCCATCGATCACCACACAAATACTCCCACCAACATATGTAATTCACTTTGTGGAAGAATTTGGAAATTTTTTGGCAACTACAGAAATTAAGTAGTTTCAATTGTCTCTCTCATATGTGGATTCACTAAAGGTACTTTATTTTTACCACATTCAACCAAAATCGTGTACCAGCAGACAATAACACTGGTGGTTTGGGGAGACAAGAAGATTATGGGAATTAGACTGTTAGAAACCATATACCTTTGGGTCTCAGATTTAATGTTGTCTAGGTTTGTGAGTTGTACATTTTGTACATTAATTACTCCATATTGCCTCAGGGCCACTTATGAGTAAAAGTCCACTCGCTGCTGATCATTCAACAATGTACTGATGACAATGAGGCCTCAGGTAACTCCATTTCTGTCACTGTATGGCCCACTGTTAGGACAATCCTGTAACTCACAGCCTTTTAGACCTTCCATGGGTGGCACTGGCAGTGAAATTGCAATATTGTGATCTCTTATATCCTTGATTTTTTAAAATATGTTATTTAATGGATATTTTGAGAAAGAGAAACAGAGAGAGAGAGAGAAAGAGAGAGAGAGAGAGAGAGAGAGAGAGAGAGAGAGAGAGAGAGAGAGATGGATTGATGTGTGGAAAATATCGGTTGGTTGCCTTCCACATGCACCACAACCTGGGATCCAACCTGCAACAAAGTTATGTACCCTGACTGGGAATTGAACCCACAATCTTTTAATGTGACAGATGATGCTCTAACCAAATGAGCCACATGGGTAGGGAACACATTCTATTTTTTTATTGTTGACACATTGTGATTCTTATTTGCAGTTCTCCATTGGTTACTGATGTTTCCTTCTATTCTTTGTTTGTGGTATTTTTTTTAAAGTATGAGATGGTGTTGAATCATGTGAAATATTAACAGCTGACATTGCAATTTTCTTCCATATACCTATTTTTCTTTCATTTTTCAGAGGACTTGTAACAATAATAACACATATTCTTCCCTTGCTAATGTTTATGCTTGTCATACGTTCCTATGAATGGTTGCCATTCAAACCCTGACCAAGCTGACCTCAAATCCTTTGCCCAGAACCAATAATGTGTAACTCTGTGTTAGGGCCAAAGTAAGCCCTGGGTTGAGATTCACTCAAAGGCTCTTAGGCAGTGATGGGTACGGTGTCTGGTACTAACTGGGACCAAGATGCCTAAAACTCCAGCCATATGTTGAAGATACCCATCATTGCACACTGCTCCTCTCTTCTGTCTCTCTTTTCTCAGACTCGATGAGAACTATTTCTAACAGGTGCGCGGTGGTATCTCACTTGCATTTCCCTAATAGCTAGTGAATTTGAATATCTTTTCATGTATCTGTTGGCCATTCAAATGTCTTCTTGAGAGAAATGTCTGTTCAGGTCCTCTGCCCATTTTTTAATAGGATTGTTTGTTTGTTTAGTGTTGAGCTGTATGAATTATTCATATATTTTGGATATCAACTCCTTGTCAGAGGTATTATTTGCAGATATCATTGACCATTTGTTTGGTTGCTTTTTTGTTTTGTTTTAATTTCTTTTGTTGTGGAGAAGCATTTTAGTTGGATATAGTCCCATTTATTTGTTTTGGCTTTTACTTCCCTTCCCTTGAGGTCAACTTCAACACTGAAATTTTAAGGTAGTTCTCAGACTTGTTTAAACAATTCAGCCACATGAGAAATTGAAATAATCTCTAGTACCAGTCTACATCCACAACTATTAAAGCAGAATAGGGGTCAGATATACCCACACACATTTTAAAACTCTCCAGATAACTGTAGTGTGAAACTGAGGTTGAAAATCACTGTGTTAAAATATCAGCTTTTGGTTTATGTTTGCCATACATTTCTAGGAATGGTTGCCACTTCATTTTTCTAACTTTCAGCTCAGTGTTGTTTTGGGGAGCTAATGATTGCATTAGCTTAGATCAGAGACTGACGAACTATGGCCCATAGGCCAAACCTGGCATGTGGCCTGATTTGGGGGGCCTGTAAGATAAGAATGTGTTTTACATATTTGAATGTTTGCAAAATGAAAATAATAATGTTTTTAAGAAGTTAAAATTATTTGAAATTCAGATGTCAGCATCCATACATAAACTTTTATTGCAACACAGCCATACTGTTTCTATTGCAGCTTTCACTTCACAAAAGCAGAATTGCATAGTTACAACAGAGACCAAAGGGCCACAGAGCCTCAAATTTTTATTATCTGAAGGTTATATATTTCTAGGAACTTGTTCATTTCTTCTAGTTTATTGAATTTGGTGGAATTTAGTCTTTAATAGTATTCTAGTATGATTTTTTGTATCTCTGTGATGCCTGCGGTGACTTTCAATTCTGATTTTATTTATATAGGCCTTTCTCCTTTCTTTAGTGAGTCTAGTCAGGGGTTTGTCAATTTTAGTAATATTTTTAAACTCACATAAACTGATGAACAAAAATAGAGCCAGAAGGATTACTTTTATTATATTCTAGATTATAATAAAAGTAATCCTGTTATTTGCAGATTTTTAACATTTCCTACAACTTTTGTGATATTATACTAAGTGAATATCATTTTGGTAATATTATTTACTTAAAATCCTTTAGTTCTTAAAATATCAATGTTTATTGCATATAATACTACTATATGTAAGATGATTTTTCTTGAATAATTGGTATTTACTCCATGTAACATTATCATATTTAAAATAATTTTCTTGAGGTATTAATTTTTATTGCATGTAACATTATTGTATTTAAGATCATTTTTCTTTAAATATGAAGTTTTACTGCATGTAACATTATTATATTTAAAATTGTTTTTCTTGAAAAAAATTGATAAAAACAACAACAGATAGAAGCATAAAGAAAAAGAGCCAATGGAGGCACAGAGTTATCAGAAAACAAAAGATAAAATAGCTTTAAAAAATCCTCTTACATCAATAAGTACCCTAAATGTAAATGGTATAAATTCACCAGTAAAGAGGCACAGAGTAGCAGAGTGGATAAAAAACAAAACCCACCTATGATTTAACAGAGAGGATCCAAGATGGCTGCACAGGTAAACACCTAACCATAGCCGCACACAACAATTTCAATAATATATCGGGTCTAGTAATAATTAATGTTCTTTTTTAACATTCGTTTAAAATCTTGCTTGGTGTTGACTTGTATTGACATAACCTTCAAACACGTGCTATCTACAGAACGTGTGAAGTGCAATTAACAAGTTTTGCTTGAAAAAGTTTGTGTTTGGTTTGGTTTTTGTTGCAAAACTAGGGCTAAGAAGATGGCGGATGAAGAGCATATTTGGCACTGCATGCTTTACGAGTTCCAATTAGGAAGAAAAGCAAGTGAGGCT